TTTCAAAATAGCAATTATAGAAGAGTTTTTAGATGTTTGGGGAAAGGGGTATGCCAGAAAGCTTGATCTGATAATGATCCATTATAGATGTGCATTGGAAATTCATATCATATCGCACAAATATGTACAATTATTACTCATTAATCAAAACAGTTGTTTAGTGCTTAATAATATGGAAATTCTGCCAGCTGTTGTGTGACAAAACTTTTCCTGGGGAGATGCTACACACATGTCTACTCACCCCAGAAAGGGAGCCTTAAAAAGACCAAAGTATCGATACCACCAAAGTCCAATTTGATAAACCATAAATTGTACTGGATTATTTACAGGAATATAGGTGAGAAGGGTTACTTACAAGAGCAGAAATAGTTCAAAATCAGCAGCATTGCCAAAGCCCACCCCAGCATGGATGACAGCTCACAAAAGCTGGTAATCTGGAGCTCACTGAACAGCTTTAGGCAGTTCAACAGGATGGAGAGTGTCCTTTCCAGGTGCCTTGATTGTTCTAAACCAGCTCCAGGCCCTTCTGCTGGTTTCTGCTTCTTCCAGGCAGCTGGTCTGATCTCAGAATCCTCTTTGCAGCTTGACTTATCTGAGAATCTTCTTTGAAAACACACACACACACATACACACTTACTTTAGTAGGGAGGGAGAAGCTTAAGAAACTTCCCTGAAGGATGGCCTGTTTCAATCTTGGGCAAAACTGTTAATACAATTCCAATCCAATACGATCGATACATACTGTATTTATGTATCAAATTATCACACTGTGCCCATAATCAGTATAATTAAAATGACTTCTAGTTCCTAAAAATAAATTAGTAATAATATAATCTAAAGCTATAAAGAAAAAGAAAAAACTAAGTAATCCACGGAGAAAATAAAAGTTAGCTTCTTATTGCTGAGATGCCCTATGTGGTGGATCACACAGAAGATCTTCAGATTATTCTTACAGTCTGTTTTTTACCTAATAATCCCATTCATTTAGGTCAGATTATTTGGTCTAATATATGGCAACTCCTGTAACCACTTAACTAACGTTGCTCATTTTCCTTGGTATGTTTTTCTAGCCACAAACTAACTTTTTGCTGAGTTAAAAAAAAGTCACAGGACATTTTAAAGCTTCTACAACTGTCCAAACATATGAGCTCATTTTCTGGAACGTAATGCGAGCTTAAAAGGATCATTTCTGAAACAAAGGATTTACACAGAACTACAATGTATATAAAGTGAGTCCTGATTTGTATTCTTCGGACTCCTCTGATCTGCGAATATTACAATAGAGGGTTGCTGTGTCTTTCCATAGGATGATTGCTTTGTTGGGTGATGTGGTTATCCGACAAGCCTTTGTCTGAACACCAGAGTTTTTATTGTTTCATGCAATTTTAAAGAACTGTCACACAAGTCACCAGGTAAGACTTTGAGTCAGCAAGAACTCAATGTTAGCTATTAAATTTTCCTTGAGAAAAAATTACATTAGTATCTGGCACAGCTAGAAGACAGTTTATATCACAGTGAGTACTCATTCATATTTACTAAGGTGAAAGTCATTATTCCTTACCTAACATATGTATGAGTGTATAAACTACTAAAATCTAGCATCTTTGTTCAAATTCTGCCAGGCAGTTGATTCTCTTCCCTCATGAATCATAAGCTCTCTTTTGAAAGGCCAAGGAAACTCTAACCTCACACACAAGACAAGGATATCCAATAAGAACTTAACTTCCTTGATATTCATAATTAGAAATAGTTATTAATCAACTGACAGATATGTGCATAACATATACACATGTGCTTTAAAATAAATGATGACAGCCGGGCGGTGGTGGCAAATGCCTTTAATCCCAGCACTCGGGAGGCAGAGGCAGGCGGATCTCTGCGAGTTAAAGGCCAGGCTGGACCGACAGCTTCCAAAACAATACAGAGAAACCCTGTCTCGTAAAACCAAAAAAAATAAAAAATAAAAGAAATAAATAAATGACGACTTAGGAAAGTGTCATAGGGCATCATTCTCACTAGTGGTCTGATAAGATCACCAGCACATATGCATACAAGTAGAAAATCTGCAAAGAACTCACATCCAATAGAAATCTACTGAATAAAGTTTAAGTCCTGTTAACCACATTGTGATATTGGCCAAGCTCAGGTCCTTCTTTTGTCTTTGAAGCTAGGAAAATCTGGCTCAAAGGTCATATCTTGTGCGTAGTAGAATCAGTAGCCTTACAGATTCTAATTATTGTCAAATTTATGCTAGGCCTTTGCCTTATTCTGAATCCTTTTAAGAATCATGCAAAGCCACCATTTGTTTTCCCATGAGATATTTAAGGAAAACAACCACAAAGTGGTCAAGTGACTTCTTCAAGCTCACAGTCATAGAATGTGCCAAAATTCAGATACTAACACATGCCTTTCCACCTATTTCAATCTCTCCAAACTCTGCTATCCTCAGCTATAAAATGTAGACAATAAAAAATACTGAAGTCAAGACTGAAAGAAATACCATAAAGAAAACTACCTGGTAGGTCTCTAGCATCTATTCCTCTTGTGTAATTCTAACTTCATTTTCCATTAAACAACTCCCTGTTTCTTCCTCCCTCCATCTCCTAGCAACTGCCATTCTATTTTCTGCTTCTATGAACCTGACTGCTTTTGATACCTCATGTGCATGGAATCATCTATCATCCTGTGATTAACTTATTTGTTAACATAGTCTTCTGAGTCCAGCTATGGTATTGCAAACAGCAGGATCGCCCTTTGTTTAAAAGCTGATTAAGAGCCCACTGTATATGCCATTCCCAAATTATAGTGGAAATGATTCAATGTAAACATTTTCTTTTACTTTATCACACATCCAGTAGCAAACACTAGAAATTTTAAATTTTGATCTTCTCCCAGGCCAGCAATATGTGGTACAATTCTCTGTCCTGTTGCTGGACAGAACCAGTGAATCTGAAATCTCAGCCATCCTACTGAATGACTACACTGTCCTGTGTCACCCTGCAAGGATGCTACTGGGTTAAGTTTACGAAATGCATTTTTGACTCACAGTAACACAATCTCACCATAAGTCATAGTCAACCCATCCATAACCCATGGATGCAAAGTTATATTTGGGCAGAATGAATAAATAATGTTTTCATTTGCTTTCTAGTGCAGAGATAAAGAGCACGACAAAAAGAAACTTGAGAGGGAAAGAGTTTTATTTCACCTTGCAGATTTCAGTCCATTTTGAAGGAAGTCATAGCAGAACCTCAAGGTGAGAAACAGAAGCTGAAGCAGAGGCCATGGAAGAATGCTATCCCTGGCTTGCTTCTCGTGTCTCACTCAGCTTGCTTTCTTAGGAAACCCAGGACCAAGTGTCCAGGTGTAGCACCAAACCACCAAACAGTGGGATAGGTTCTCCCACATCAATCATTAACCACAAAAGTTCTCCATGGACTTGATTCCAAGGCAATATGATAGAAGCATTTCCTTAGCAGAGGTTCCCTCATCCTGAAAGAGTCTAGCCTGTGTTAAGTACAATTGCTGAGATCTAATGTATAACACAGCACCTAGGGCTTTCAATACAGTATTGTGCACTCAAAATTTATTCAGAAGGTAGACTTTGTAAGATAATCTACATACATACGTAAGCTACAGTCACACACAAGCACATGCGAGTGCACGTGGCTGCACGTGCGCTCCTTGCATGCATACACACACACACAACACACACACACACACACACACACACACACACACACACACAAAGAAAAGTACTAAAAGGGTCACAAGTAAATTCTGGAGGTGATGGGATATTTTTACCTGCCTATGGTGGTGGTAGTATCAGAGACTCATGAGCATATCCAAGCCCATCTGGTTGCATCATGATCAGCTGAATGACTGTATGCAATGCACACCCCAGGCAGTCTATGAAACTGATCTATCCTAATTCTTTATGCATCAATAAAACTGTTTTCTAAAAGTACCTGTCAAGAACCTTGTCAATATGAGGCTTATTCATTTATTTGCTCTAATTATGGTATATAGATCTTTGCTAGGCTGTGGAAAACACTGAAATGGGAAATCACAACAAACCTTGCTCTCAGATATGAATTCTTCTCTCCAGCAGCGCATACATACATACATACATACACACACACCACACCCATACACACACACACACACACACACACACACACACGCACACACACACACACCACACCCATACACACACATCATCCTCCACATTCTCTATTGTAATCCCTTATTGGAATGTATTGGAGAGAAGTTAAGACTTAGATTCTTTTGAAATTGGTCTCAGAGGGAAATTAATCAGAGGAAGTGATCAAACATACATTTGTATGTTAAAGGAGTAGTCTGTAGTCAACTGCTATTGAGTTTTCAAAGGAGTTGCGCTTGTGATGTGATTAAAAAGTTGTAAGAGATAGATTTTACCTTGGATTCAGCCAGCAGTAGACACAGTAGCTACTTCATGACTGGAAAAACAGTGGTACTGGTATTTCACAGTAGGCCAGGAGAGGAAGACCCTGTCCCCAACAAAAAATAGAGGCACCTGTTAAACTATCTGACCATGAAGGTCCAGATGGACAGCCAGAACACAAGATCCATCAGTGGCAGCCTTTTGGTCAGCAAACAACAAAAAAGAGACTATAAAACTGGATCTTTACTAAGCAATATAAACTGATACCAGAAACTGATACTTTCTAGCAAATGTATATATTTAAAAAAAGATAAAAAGCAATAAACATGACATCATAGAAAGAAATAAAAGGAAGAAAAGAAATATTAGATGTCAGTTAGAAGGGTTCCAGACCTCATTACATGGGCATGACCAGGATTTGTTCTTGAACATTCCTGGGATATGGATGGACAATACCAAGAGTTGAACCATGGGCCCTGGATACACAAATGAATGTATGACAGCCTCTGATCTTGGGAGCTGCTAGGGAGTTCGCCAGGATGGAGGAGGAAGGTGAGCATGTCTTACCCCTAGTGGAGTAACTGCTAGCAACTGATGTCTGCTGGAAGAGGCTGGATCCTTGTCTTTAAGAATGTGACTCCAGGTAGGTTGACCCATGCGTCAGTGGATAGCCAAACACCATAAAGTACATGGGCAACAAGAATTAGAGTTAATAGCTTTGCTTTTATTTTTTTAACCAAATAATATGAGTGGGTAGGGAGGGAAGGAGAAATGTGATGAGAACTAGTACTGAAAGAGATGCAGGACAGAAACGCAGTATGAGCTTAACTGACCCCAGAGCTATGCACTGTGCTGGCGCTTGTCAAGTCCTGCCTGTTTCACAGCAGAATCCTGGTGCTGCTGAAAGCCACCTTGAGAAGACTGCATCTAACATTCTTGCCTCAGGATTCCTATACTTTCCTTTTCCTTAGAATTCACAACAAATAGTGCTGTGCTGTCAGAGCCTGTCTACTCTGTGCCAACCCCCAGCAGAATGTCAATGAAACAAGTTCGTTTAAAAAGAAATAGAGAATTTATTAGGAGGCTGAATGGAGTGAAACTTGCATCCCATTTAAGACTGGGGATTCCATCAGCCAAATAATGGGCTCAAAGGGTGGAATAGGACTTGGGATAGGTATGCAGAATTGTGTGTAGAAACTGGAACTCAAAAATAGTCATGGGACATTGCAAAAACAGGGACTTATTCACCCCTGCCACCAGCACAGCTGGCTGCTCTACCAGCTGTGGGCTTGGGGGTTGATAGTATCCAGACACCAATAGAGGTGTGCCAGAGAAAACCCCAGCCAGAGAATTTTGGTTCCTTACTGCCTCGCCACTAGTGAGCAAGGACACAAAACTGTTCCAAATGGCTGGGTGCCAAATCACCTGCACAGCATGACAGCTCTCTCCAAGAAGACACAGGTGAGTGTGGAGTGGTGTTAAAGCAGGAGTCTGTGTCTTTAAGAAAGTTAGTCTTGAAGAAAACAATCCATACCACCTGAAGTTCTCTCCCTGGAAGCAGAGTTAAGCTTCCTGTTTATGATGTTTATGATGAGGGGTTCCTCCTTGCTTCTTGTCATAGAGACTCTACTGGAACTTCCTGTTACCCCCTGGCGAAAGCATTGAAAAGTCGCGACGCTTCCAAATGTTCATAATTCTCCATCATCAACCGACTGTAAAAATAATGAGATGGATTACATTTCAGACAAAGAATTCAAGTGAGTTATTCTAAAAGATCAATGAATTGCAAGAAAATGCAGGGGGGAAAAAGCCAACTAAATGAATTAAGAAAAATAAGGCAGGATATGCATGCAAAACTCAACTAATTGACAATTTGGAAGGATTGACCTAAACAGGAAACAAAAATCTCAGTACGAAGAAAAATAAAACTTATTGGAAAGCCTCAACAATAGATTATTTCAAGCAGAAAATTTTCAAGGCTTGAAGACATCATGAAGGAGAACATTCAGACATAATAAGCAATGAGAGGTTAAGAGCAGAACTGTTGGCACAGTCCATGAACCAAGCTGTGTGAGGAAATTTCTGAGACCTCGTGAGAAAACACCAAGTAAACAAGGCAAGAGTGTTATAATCCCTGCTCCTCCAGAACACGAGTTATTCTTGGAATGTGCTTTCAGGACCCTCCCAGGTATAGCAGATAGGAGTGAGTTTTCTTCAGATTATTCATTACAACTGGCTATCGTTATTTGTTTATCTGCATCTATGGAAAAACACGTTTTTGCCATGTGCAGCTTGTCCTTACGATTGTACACTTTACTCAGGTGACTCTTTTTAACCCTCAGACTATAAATTGCCTGATGCTCTGAATAAAGTTGGCTATTGCACGAGATTTTAGTCTGCCTCATTTTCAGGCCCCACTTTCCCAGGTTCATGCTGCCAGCTACAGCAGTAGACACAGAACATGCAAGACTGCCAGAAAATGATTAAAAGGTTAAAATTAGTATTTTTTGGTATAGAAAGTACTGCCAGAGCACAGATGGGGGGGAGACATCAAAGGAAAACCATCTGAAGAAATAATAGCAGAAAATATCCCATGTCTTAAGAAATATATAGGTATCTAGGTACAGAAGGCATTTAGAGCTCCAAACATATCTGACTATTATAGAGCCACATTAGCAATAAATGCTAAGAGTACAGAACTAAGAGAAGATACTTAAACCTAAAACAAAAGGAGTGCAATTTGGGTATAAAAGCAAATCCATCCGAATAACAGCATATTTCTCAAAAGAAACTCTAAATCAGGGGACCATGTAATGATGTCCTACAAGCCATGAAAGGAAATAACTGCCAATGTATGTTACTACAGCAACAAAGTTACCCTTACAAATTAAAGGATAAACAAAGACCTCCCAAGACAAACATAATCAAAATGAACCAAGGACCACTGTCTTAGTTAGGATAACTAGTGTTGTGATGAACCCCATGACCAAAAGCAACTTGGGAAGGAAAAGGTTTATTTGTCTTACGATTCCACATCGCTGATCATCATCTGAGGAAGTCAAGACAGGAACTCAAACAGCAGGACCCTTAAACTATGAGCTCATGCAAAGGCCACAGAGGGGTGCTGCTTACTGGTTTGCTCTGTCTGCTTTCTTATAGAACCCTTGAACCACCAGTTCAGGGATGGCACCACCTACTTTGGGCTGGGCCCTCCCACATCAATCACAAATTAAGAAAACACCCTACAGGCTTGCCTACAGCCAGATCTTACAAAGGCATTTTTTCAAGTAGGGTTCCCTCCTCTCAGATGACTCATTTGTGTCAACTTGATATAAAATTAGTCAGCTCAACTGACCTCTTGTCAACTTGACACAGAAAATGTCATTTAATAAAACTAACCTTTCCAGTCCCCAAGATCTCACATTAATACCACAAATATAAAACATGTTACAAACTTAGCAATTCAAATACCTAAAAAGATGTCTCTTTAAAAAAAAAAAAGTCCAGAGTCTCTTTTAAAACCCAAATGCTTTGTAAAACATCAAAATATCTTTAAAATTTTTAAAGTCTCTCAATTGTGGGCCCCTGTAAAATCGAAAACAGGTAGAATATGTTCTTACTTCAAGAGGGAAGAACCAGGGCCCGGTCACAACGCGAACAAAGCAAAACCAAACCCTAACTGTGTAAAATAATTCAGTGCTGAATGTCTTGGATTTATTCACCATCTTCTGGGTCCTCCAGAGAGCTTGGGTCACTTCTCTGCCCGCTGCATCACACATAATTTATCTTCTAAACCCAGGCTGGCTCTAATCTACGGCTGCTACTGCTCTTGGAGGCCTTCCCACGGTGCTGGCATCTCCAAAATGCTGGGATCTTCTGCTGCAACTGGGCTGACCTTTCACCAATGACCTCTCCTGGACTCTCTTTGGGGACTCCAGCCCGGGGAACTCAGTGCTAAGTCTCAGTTGCTCTCCATGACTCCTTCATGTCTTCAAAACCCAGTAACACCTGGGTGCTTCTTATGCTACCAAGTTCAGCTGCCAGCACAAGGTACAACCGTGGCCACCTTGGAACACACCTTCTAGGTTCTGACTCTTGAGGAAGCACTTCCCAGAAGATTCCACTTCAACCATGCTGGAATCATCTTAATCACGGCTAATACCTCAGCTTTAGCTGATCAGCATTGGTAATCCCAGCAAAGTGAAGGTTTCACCTTCACTTTGGTAGTTCTGGTCTCTTGCTAACCACAGCTGATTCTTCAGCTGGTAACTGACCAGAACTACAGATTCTTTAACTCAAACTATCCGATGACCTCAATGGAGTCTTTTTTTTTTTTCTGAGACAGGGTTTCTCTGTATTGCTTTGAAGCCTGTCCTGGAACTCACTCTGTAGACCAGGCTGGCTTTGAACCCATAGAGATCCTCCTGCCTCTGCCTCTGCCTCCCAAGTGATGGGATGAAAGGTGTGTGCCACCAACGCCCAGCTTCTCAGTGGAGCCTTTAAGTGACTTTTCAAACTGAATTCTGAAACTTCACAGGCCAGACTTCCATTATCTGCCTTTCTCTCAACACTATTACCTTCCAAGCTCCCACAGAACTTTGGACACTCAATGGATTTTCTAGCCTAAAGTTCCAAAGCCCTTCCACAATCCTCCTAAAAATGTCATGGTCAGATCTGCAACAGCAATACCTCGCTATCCTGGTACCAATTTCTATCTTAGTGAGGGTTTCTATTGCTGCGATGAAATGCTGTGACCAAAAGGAACTGAGGAGGAAACGGTTTATTTGTCTTCATGTCCATCTAGAGTCATAGTCTACTGAGAGAAACCAAGGCAGGAACTCGAACAAGGCAGGAACATGTGGGCAGGTACTGATGCAGAGGCCACATAGGATGGCTACTTACTGGCTGGCTACTGTGATTTGTTCAGTCTGTTTTCTTATAGATCTCAGGACCGCCAGCCCAGGAGTGGCACTATCCATGATGGAATTGGGCCATCTCCCATCAATCACTAATTAAGAAAATGCCCGCTGGGCGGTGGTGGCGCACGCCTTTAATCCCAGCACTCGGGAGGCAGAGGCAGGCGGATCTCTGTGAGTTTGAGGCTGGGCTGGACCGATAGCCTCCAAAACAATACAGAGAAACCCTGTCTCGAAAAACCAAAAAAAAAAAAAGAAAAAAGAAAAGAAAATGCCCTACAGGTTTGCCTACGGTCTGATCTTATAATGCCATTTTCTCAATAAAGGTTTCCTCCTCTCAGATGACTCTAGGTTGTATCAAGCTGGCACAAAATTAGCCAGCACAATCACTATGACAGCATATGACAGACACTTAAAAGGGACACTAAATGCATAAAAAGGAAATAAATTATAACCATAAGAACAAAGGGAAGAAGAAATCCCACTAGGAGTACAGATAAGTAAACAAGAATTGGGAAATCCATATTAAATGGAACATTCTACGATCATTTATGTTTTAAACTATATAAGCTTCTGTGTAATGTGGTGAAACCAGCTGCCACATTATTCCATCTACTCTGATCTACCTGGATTATGAATCATCCCTTTGCCTAATGTATCCATGCTGCATATGCTATCTACCTACAAGTCCTTTATTGAACATCTTGATTTTCAGATAGACAGTGCTAAGTATGTGGAGAATCTGATACTATCTGACTTTAGGCATCCAGTAACTGTCTTGGAACATAACCTTCCTCCTGATGGAGAAGGGAGGAAGTACTATGTACAGTGTGGCCATTGTGCATTGGTAATTCATTATTTTTTCTTTTCTTTTTTTATTATTTTAATTTTAAATAGCTTGTTTTACATGTCAATCCCAGTTCCCTCTCCCTCCCCTCCTCCCGCACCCCCCCACCATCCTCCCAGCCTCCCACCCTATTGGCATTTCCTTCCCCATAGGGGATATCTAGAGTCTGTCATTTCACTCAGGGTAGGGTCCAGGCACTTCCCTAAGAGTCCAGGCAGAGAGAGCAACCCTCTTTGTGTTATGGACACACGATGTTTGTATTCCAGGGATAAACACTGATCCACTGCTCAGGACCCCATAGGTAGCCCAGGCCTCCTCACTGACTCTCACATTCAGGGGGTCTGAATCAGTCCCATGCTGGCCTCCCAGCTGTTGGTCTGGGGTCCAAGAGCTCTCCCCTGTTCAGATCAGCTATCTCTGCTGGTTCTGCCAGCCCATTCTTTGCCAATTTTCTCATTGCTCCTCTCTCTCTGTCACTGGGTTCCTTGGGTTCAGTTCAGTGTTTAACTGTGGGTGTTTGCCTCTGCTTCCATCAGTCACTGGATGAAGGCTTCAGGGTGGTTATAGATATCAAGTTCATTATCTTAAGCCCTTGAATGTGCCACAGCTTCCCTGTGTAACTGAACTCAGCTACTCACACTGATTTCCAATATTGAGATCCATTTCTAATGAGCTGATTATTACTTCTGATTTCTTTAGGAATATTAAAATCATCCTTGTTGGCTGGTGTGAATTCAAATGAACTGAAAAAACAATGAAAAATGTCTTAGTCTATGAGTTGCTTGCAAAGGAGATTATGATAGCAGAGAATGGATGGTAAATCCATTCTACCCAGCAGGAACCAGTCTGGAGAACCATGTGGGCATGATCATGAAGATCATTAAGTTGCCTGTTCTTTTCTAGAACAAGTATATTATTAGCTGATTCATTTGAGAAGAAACGATAGTGG